TAAGATAAACCCAAGTACATCGTGAATATTCATCAATAATTGTAACAAAATACCGAAAACCAAAAGATGAGATGCGACTGGGTCCCCAAATATCAGAATGGATAATAGAGAAACTGGATGTACACTTTGATTGAGACCTTTTAGGAAAGGTAGATCTAACATGTTTCCCTAGTTGACATGACTCACATTCTAAGGTCTGGAGACCACTAAGTTCAGGACACATTCTTTTTAATTTCGACAAATGAGGATGGCCAAGCCGATCATGTAACATTTTAGGGCTCGAAGTAGCAACACATGACACACGTGGACGAGGGCCAAAAAGGTATAATCCTCCAGCTTCATATCCTTCTCCAATCCGTCTCCCCGAACCACGCTCCTGTATAACAAAAGATTTGTTATCAAAGGTTATTGAACAACTTAAGGTTTTGGTTAACTGACTTAAGGAAATTAAATTGAAAGGACAAATAGGAATAAAAAGGACAAATTTTAGGCTTATGGAGGGAGATAAGGAAACTTGGCCCACTCCCTTTGAGGAAGCTTTAGAGCCATCTGCAAGGGTTATGAAATGTTTTTGTTGAAAGGAAATGGTTGAGAACAAGGAGGTATTACCAGATATATGATCAGAAGCACCAGAGTCAATTACCCATGAATTTTGACCCTCCACAGATTGAGAAATGCAAGCAGTTGATGTGCTGGCAGTTTGAGAGGTCTGTGCCAACCTATTAGACTTCAACCGTAGATACTCTTGGTATTCGTCCTCAGTGAACTTGGAGTTGACGGTTTCAGCCTTCGAGACATTGGCGGTTTTGGGAGGAAAACCATGCAAGGAGTAGCAGTTCTCCTATGTATGACCCATCCTCTTACAGTAGGTGCATTGGGGACGTCCTCGACCTCCACGTCCTCCTCCTCTGGTGCCACGTCCTCCTCTTCCTCGTGTGGCAACCATGGCAGATGGTTCTACTAGAGCAAGAGCTTCCTGAGTCTCAGACATTGGTACACGAATCAGACGTGTGATAAGGGTATCCATGGAAGGGACTTCATAAGTGGTCAAAAGTTGATCTCTGATATGGTTAAAGTCAAGATGTATTGCGCGAAGGATCATCACCATGTAATACTTGTCAAGCTTCTTTTTCATTTCATTCAAGGAATCGACTTCCAAGAACATCTTTCGTTCTTCCACAGCTGACTAGGTGTCATTCATAAAGGACACCATATCATGATCTGTCATTTTTAGAGATGCCAGCTTATTTGCGGAATCGTAGAGACGTTGGATATCATTGGCATAAATGGTTTGAGCTTTCTTCCAAAAGGAGTGACAAGTTTTGAAGGCTCTAAGCGACATCAAAAGTCTTGGTTCCACTGATTGCCACAATAGAGCACATAGCTGAAAATCTGCCTGTTTCCACTGTTCATCTTTTTCTTCCGACACATGGCTTCCGTCTTTTTCAAGGTGGTCATGATGCCCCTGACCGAGAAACCACATTTCGACGGTAGCAGACCAAGATAGATAATTTTGTCCGTTTAGTTTTTCGGAAGTAATGGAGGGGCTTCCAGAGAATGAAATTGGAGTCATTTCTGATCAAGAGGACAAAGACCAGTGAGGGGGGCGAAAACAGTAAGGAAGTCCGAAAGCCCAAGCGTGATTTTTGCACGGGTGACTACTGGACTTCACCGAAATGAAGTTCTGAGGGCCAGAACAGCTCCGACGACCCTAACAAAGGCAGCGCGACGACGTTCTGACATGGAGAAGGCGGCGCGTGGATCACACGCGCCAGATGCAGCGGAGAAAGAGGCGGCGCATGGCGGTGAACGAGCTTCCAGGATCGGCGGGGTTGGCTGTCGCACGACGAGACGATTCAGATCCGGTGGTTGCCGGCGAGAACTGGACGACCGGAGACGGTGGCCGGCGGGAGACAGTGGCCGACGGCGGACAGCGGCAAAAACAGTGTCGGAGACTACAGAAACAGGCAGAGCGGGATCGACCCGCTCTGATACCAACTTGATATTCAAAAACAGAGAAAAAGTGTTTTTAGAGGGCTTGAAGAACCCCTCTCATAGTTCTCTATTTATATAGATAAAAACTGATACAATAGGGAGATTACATTAAATGCACAATCCTAGATTACTCCTCAGAACTAGGTGCAGAGGTTATCTAACACTCAACCCCCTGCAGAGATTATCTAACACTCAACCTCCTACCTTAGGTATAATGATTACATATATTTTCTAATCTATTCCAACATAAATCTATATTTATTATATAGTAAATGTACAATATTTACACCCATATTTCGACAAAAGGGAATACCTAAATCTTTGATAATTGTGATGTTGATTGGGTAAGATCTCTTATGGTCAGACACTTTACATAAGATATTATGTTTTTATTGGAGGGAATATTATTTCTTGAAAAAACAAAAAACAAAATGTGATTGCTTGATCAAGTGTTGAAGTTAAATATAGGACAATGGCATCCCTCACTTGTTAACATGTGTGGATAAAACAATTCAAAATGAAGATACAGAAAATGAAGATGTATTGTGATAATCAAGCAGCTCTCCACATTACTTTCAATTCATTGTTCCATAAAGAGAACAAAATATAGAAATTGACTACGACTTCATTCGAGAAAAGTTGTTGTCTAAGAAAATTTATACTAACTTTGTTAGATCCAATGATCAACTTGCATATGTGCTAACAAAATCCTTCAGAGGGCCTCAAATTCAATCCATATGTTTCAAGTTTGGTATATACAATTTGTATGTTCGAACTTGAGAATGTTAGAATAGGCTTAGCATAGGCTTTATTAAAATTTTGTTCTTTGTGTACATATTTGTACCTAGGTCTATAGATGTACCTTTGCTTGTTTCATCAATCTTTCTCTCTTCCATTGCAAAACATCTTTTTTAAAAATAAGAGAACAATAGAGAGGCTTGATTAAGCTCTCCAAAATACTTTTTCCCTTTATTATTTATCTCAAGCCATGTATTATAGCATTTTCATTTTTGGTGCAAAATTAATATCAATATTTCATGCTATCTATCATTTGAGATCCATTTATTGCAGAAACTATGATGAGGTTCACAATGTTCTCTACTAATATGAAAACAAAACCATAAGTTGAAACTAACTTTTGAAGTGCATTACAACTCATGATAGAATCTAAAAAGAATTCAAGAAGTTTAGGAGTTAGTTTTTATAATGTTATTTATAATGAAAAGCAGAACATGGAAATTCAAATAAGTCCATGCTTCCAAAAATCATCTTTATTAATGTATCTTCTCATGGAATTGCATCATATATGCTAAATACTGGAAAGTGGATTTGGGTCTAATTAAATTCTACAAAGTTGACTTGTAAGGTGAGGTTTACACCTCACTTATATACTATAATTTTGTCATATTTGTCAATGTGAGATTTTCAACACATTCTCATCCTATGGACTAGATATCTCAAGAATATATAGGACCAAATATTTGTACATGTTCTAATAAAGACACAACCAATAGATGGCACAATAGGCCCAACAAACCTCAATAGAATAGACCCTGATACCAACTTGAGATTGAGACTACAATATGATAAAAGAGCTTAAGAGATGATTTATCTCTTGTAGATTCATTTATTTATAGAAGTACACATGATTACAAAGAGCGGAGAGACTAAAGGGTACATCTAGGCGCTAATAGCTAATAAGGAAAAATAGCTTTTAGTGAAGATAGGTTAACCTATATCAACAAGTTATGTTAATAAAATAACCATATCAGTGTCACCCAATTATACTCTATGCAATCGTATAGGAGAATGCATAAATACACAAATAACATGAACTTTATAATAAGTAGTTTTCATAAGATATAGATGAGCAAATTATGCTCAATACTATATGGTTCATATCTTCTTTGCAAGCTAAAAAGCTACAACAATTTCCTTTTAAAAACTACATTATTATAGTAGCATCCAAATTTCAAAGCACGCATGATTTATATCAAATATGTAGAATTTGGATACCAACTCATAAATCATTTTAAATAACACAAATCCCACTTGGATATTGATACTTAATCAAATGAGTACAATAAGTCAAAGAACTTTGTTGTAGATTTGTGAATCTCACACATCCATTTTCTTGATTATAAAGGTCCAAAAAACAATATTTTTCTTATTTTGGAATTGTATGGGAGCTAACTGCTTATGGAATAATCTGTTCGGACTTCTTGGTGGACAGTGGGGGTATGCTTTCACCTTGAAACAACCATCATACAATTTCAAGTTATAATGGAATAAAGATGAAAATAGTTAATAGTAATGTTTGGTTTATGCAATTCACTAGTGTACGTTTTGGGGTGAAATGGTCATACTTTTACGATGTATCTTTTTCAAACATTAGGTACCATAATCTGCTTGCATTATTGGCTTTTCTTAAACCTGTCAATTCTCACCATGTACGAAAATCTATTGGGCCAGCAATAGATATAGTTGTGATTGGGATTAGTCATTAACCCAATGGGTTAAAGGAACCCCGTGATAGCGTAAAAAACTTATTGGCTTCTTTTAAGGGAAGTTTTTTTCTTAATATGCAGAGATTGGACTGCTTTGTAGCATATAAGAGTCACTTCAGCATTGTTTTCTCTTATTTAGAAGGAATCCTATCCTTCCAAAGATCTCACTTTTCTTATTTCTTATTTATAGACATTACAAATAGAAATAATTTATATTATTAGATAAAAGGCACCACAAAATATGCCAAAGTACAATTTTAATAGGATGAATGCCACTATTTGCACTTTCAACCTTACCATTTCTATTGTTCTATGCATCCATTTTTCCAATTAAGAATTTAGGTTATAGAAATCATATCAATGACTAAATAAACCAAAGGCAAGGAAATCTTCTGGTAAAGGGAAAAGGAAATTATTAAATCTACTTTCCTAAACAAATCTTGACAAGGCAAATAACAAATAAAAGAGTATAAAAGTGAAAAAGTGACAACACTTGGCTTACCACTCAGCATCATCAATGGGCACATTATTTGGTTTTTCAACAATTCTTAACCCATTAACTACCACAAATCGAACACGCTTCTCTTCTTGTATAACTAGTTCTGGGAATCTTGTCCTTGTTTCCATAGAAGTCGCCAATTCTCTTCTCTTAAATGTATATGGTCCTGATGAGGGGCAACTCAGATAAAAGACAATGAACGTTGCAATCAAATCAAACTGTCATGTAAAAGGAAATGGAAAAAAGAAAAAACCCTCCCACACCAAACTCCCTAGTCGCACCAAAGCACAAATTCTTTTTTTTTTTATTATTTGAGTATTAAATACTAAATAGATAAATTATATTCAAACAACTAAATTCCTCAAAATAAAAATAGGTGGAAGCAAGTTAAATCTGTCTATAACACACAAAGGTACAAGTAAGAACGTGTTACCTTTTTTAGGAAATTTCTTAGCCAGTCTTCTATACAATCCACCGGCAGCTTCAAGGGCTACCCCAATTGTCTTCTCCCGAATACCATTCAAGGAAGAAAGCCTATTATTCACATCACTAACTAAACTTTCATACATATTCGCCACATACATCAAAGGCAGCGCAAAATTTGGGTCTCCTTCATACTGGATCTCTCTGGTCCTCCTCTTACTCATTTTGTCTTGGCCAGCGTAATCAGCCTCAGAATCAGGCACCTCAATCACACGGTCATTAATAAAATGGTCCACAAGAATTTGCAAAAACCTCGCCCTTGCGGATTCAATAGGCGAAACATCTAGTTCCAAGTTGAACTAAAATCAATTCACCTTAACTAGTTAACTCAACCTTCACCACACTAAAACCACACACATCTAGAACCAGTTTGAATAAAAGCTAAGAGAGCTTTCACGTGCTACTCTACTGAAAAAAGCTCTTATAGCTTGTATCCAAAACCCTCGCATCTAGAACAACATCAGAATTCAGAAGTTTAAGCTAGGTTTTTTTACCTTCAACGGTCAAGATATCGTAAGAGGTTGTTCTAGAAGACTCGTTGGTGTCAAGACTGGCGCGGTCCTCGTCTACCTCCACGCTGTGAAGCGGCAAGCAGCTCCTGTGAGATTCGTTCAAGCAGTCCTAAAACAAAATTGAAGAAATGTCATACAGTGGTAAAATTGAAATTCGAGGAAAACAAAAGCAGAAAAAGAATTAGGGGAAGCAGGCACTGACAACTGCAGAGGCGGAATCTTCGTTGGGGTTGTCTTCGGAGGTGATGTGGTCGATGGCGGAGGCGGCGGTTCGGGCGTCGACTGCGTTGAGGACGTGGAGAGGGCTCTCGATGAAGGAAGAGGGAGAGTTGAGATTGTAGTGCTGGACGGGAACCCTAGCACCCATTTTAGGAAAACTGAAGTTCAAGAAGTGATTGCTAATGGAATTCGCGATTCAGCCAAGGTCAATGGGTCGGGCGTGGTGGTTGTGGTGGTGGTAGTGTTGGTGGCTCTTGAATGTGTCACTGCAGAAGAAGGGTTTGGGAGAGAGGGAAAGCATGGTGGAAGGAAGAGAGAGAAAGAAAATGTTAACGGCTATCCAGAGAGAGTAGAGACAGGAAAAAGAAGAAGAGGAGTCCAAACCTGAGGATGACACCGTACCTGAGGTTTCCGGTGCTCTAAGCAGTTCCCAAACCTCACTTCCATTTCCGCACCAGTTACTGCATCGTTGACTCTTCTTCTTTCATTTGTTTTATTTATTAAATAAAAATAAAATGTATATAGATCCTGAGATGTGACTATTTGATTCATTAATAAAGTGTAAATTTTTAAAATAAACTTATTAATTTATTATATAGGTAAATTAAACATAAGATATACGTGCAAGCTAGATATTTTAAAATAAAAATTTATTCTGCGATTTTGTTTTACATTTTTACATCACGTAAGATATAAAATTTTATTTATTTTCTCTCTAATATATATATATATATATATATATATATATATATATATATATATATATATTAAAGAAACTTATGATTAGGTCAAATTAAAAATTATTAAATATTTTATAAATTACATTAAACAATTATGTACCTGAAAGAATGAAAATATATATAATGTTTAATGCGTGTTAATTAATGAATAATTTAATTTTGTAATAGATAAAAATTAAAATACCAAACGACAATCTAATTTGTCTATAAATTTTGATTAGATTTTCATTACATTTTATCTTTTTTATGCTAACATAACATCTCATTGTTTAAAAAAAAAAAACAGATTATTATAGCTTTCTATCCAAGTTAATTCATGTATTTCTCTGTTTTTATTTCTAATAGTTGATAGATTCATGATTATATAGATGGTTGTTTTCATCAAAGGCTTAAGTTTGGTTTTATCCAATGGTATCATATTTGATCATTAGGAATTTCTTTTATTATCATACTTTGTCATTACAATATTATATAAATATATATATATATATATATATATATATATATATATATATATATATATATATATATATATATATATCATTTGTTTTCAGTTAAAGAAAATAATGTATATGTATCTTCAAACTATTGTAATAAGGAGGAAGGATTTTTGATAGATTGATGAACTTCCTTTGTCAAATTAATTTCGATACAGCATTAATTTATTTTTAGCATAAAAATAAAAATGATTTATTTATTTATTTTGAATTTAATCATGAATTCATATAAAAATGATATTTAAATGTCTACGTGATCCACGTGAGTTAACTTGTGTTTCAAATGAACAAAATAATAGTCCCATGATATCTTGAAATCAACTACTCAATTATTGTCGTATTTTTATACTCAAATTGACATATAATTTTATTTTTCTTTAATATAAGCATAATTTTTATATTATTGCTATCAATTAATATATATATATATATATATATATATATATATATATATATATATATATATATCAAATTAATTACTAAACCTATAACAAGTAGCATGTTATAGATAGAGATTAAATAATCGAAATAACATGTCACTAATTAACCTCGATCGTGTAAATTAATTTATTTGAAAATATAAAAAGAATATGAGCTTGTAATTTATGTACATATTAAGAAAGATTAGTATTTTTATGTAATTACATGTACACTTTTGGTGATAATTGCGTAATGATTATTCAATTTTTTGTGTAAATATTAAATAAAAAAGAAGGTTAATTATTTAATATGTTGTAGCATTTTATTATTGTAACCATATATCATTCATTAAAATTTCATTCAAACATAAACTATTAATGTATTAATCGTGCCTTAAAATAATTTTTTTGCTTTTAAATTTATTTTATTTTATTCTGTGACTTTTTTTTCTCAATTCATATGAATGATATTAAACCATTTTTTGTTTATTGTTTGAAGTAGAATAACAGTAGGTTAAGCTTTAAGCACTATATTCACAACATTTTTTTTTACACGTGGAATATGCGTGGATTGCCCAAAGGCAATGATATTTTTTTTAAGACTACATTTTTGTTGAAAACTATTATCTTTAATTATTATTATTATTATTATTATTATTATTATTATTATTATTATTATTATTATTATTATTATTATTATAATAGGCAACAGGATTTGAATAATTTTTAGATCATTATTCTTAGTTGTTGTCTTTTGATTAAGCCACAATTACTTAACCGTTGTTATTATATTTAAATTATGGTTTTTTATTTAGTTAATAGTTATTTAAATGTTTAAATTGTTTTTTAAACACAACTCTTTAATGGTTATTTTTTGTTTAGATTATCACTATTATAATGTAAAAAATCCAATGAGATTATTTCTCCTCATCCAAATTAATGACCATTAACTTAAAAGAAAAGATATTAACGTAAAAGAAAGGGATGAGGTACACCATAGAAGTATAAGAATGTAGAACTATGTCAAAAATATAATCTTCTACTAAACTTTACACACTTGTGTTAAAGATCGAGAATTCGTGAATTGATCTATCTCCTTTCTTTGATTTCAGTTTCTACGTTTTTGTTTTTATTTTTCTTTATTGGTTTTATTTTACATTTTGAAACCCAAATTTAACTTTTACAAAAAGATACTCAGGATTAATGCATTTTTATGTGTTATTGAGAAGAATGACCTAGGTTTCCACTTTATATTACAAAATTATTAGAGGAAACTTAATATGTTTGATTTCATGAATGATAATAAAAATCAGACCATAACTTATCTCTCGAATCATTATCCTCAACTTGATTTGCAATATCTTGTAAATGATTACAAAGTGAATACATAGTTTGCATCGTGTATTATATATAGTGAACTTTAAAAAGATCAATATGATGTTAGGGCTAAAAATAACATTTCATCTGCTTTAACTCTTGATGAATTTTATAGAATTTTAGTTTGCAAGAGTGCTCAAGAAATGTGGGAAATGTTAAGAGTAACCCATGAAGGTACCGATGATGTTAAAAGAGCAAGGAAAACTTCTTTGATTCAAGAATATGAGATGTTCCAAATGCAACAAGGAGAAACATGTTAGAAAAGGAGGCTGAGATCAAGAGAGGGGGTGAATTGATTTTTGAAAGATTTTCGCAAATTACAGATTATCTATTTCAAAGATTAAGAGTTCTGACCAATTCTTGAATCAAACAAAACAAACAATCAAAGTAAAAGCAGTGGCAGAATTAAAGAGAGAAAGGTTTAGAAAGATACAACCAAGATTTATACTGGTTCACCCAATCCCAGGGCTACGTCCAGTTTCCAGCCAAATTCCAACTGAGTTCCACTAGATTGAATGTTTTACAGATTACAATTCCAATCACACACTCAATCTACCACAAGAACCAAAGTTCCAGTCCTTGCACCTAAACATTCACTAAGAACCAATTTCCAGTTCTTGAACAACCCTGTAGCCAAATTCCAGCCACAGAAACCAGTGCCCACACTTCCAGGCACCCACAATACAGAAAAGAAAAGTAAAGAAACAAAGAGAAGAAACTAGAACACCCAAACCAGGTTTATGCAGCTCTGCAAAATGAGTTTCTTCACCAAAAGAATGCAAAAATTGCCTCAAGAAAGAACTTCTAAAAACTTCACAAAACTTGCGCGATTCTCTCTTGAAAGTAGCACTTATGATTGCTTGATTGATTGCCAAAAGATGTGTTTTAAAATATTCAAGCAATTCTGTTTATATAGAAGATTTTCCAAACTGTTGGTTTAATTAATCTGTTAAAATAATATTTTAATCTGCTAAAAGTCTTGTTTTAATCTGTTAAAACTTCTTTTAATCTGTTAAAATGTTCTTGATCATTTTCCAGATTTGTTTTAACTGATACGACAACATTTATATCAATTAAAACACTTTGTAAAATGTCCCTTAAGTTGTTTTAATCGATTATTTCGCCTTTTAATCGATTAAAATACTGTCAAAAGTTTTCATAAAACTTTCAAAGTGATTTTAACTGATAACAATCTATTTTAATCGATTTAAAACTCTTTGGAAAAATCTCTTAGTTGTTTTAATCGATTATTTCGTATTTGTATCGATTAAAATACTGATAGAACAACTTTCAAAACAGTTCAAGTTATTTTAATCAATTATTTCGAGTTTGTATCGATTAAAATACTGCCAGAACACTTTTCAAAATATTCTAAGTTATTTTAATCGATTATTTCGATTCTATATCAGTTAAAATACTGGCAGAAGGTTTTCAAAAACTCCTTTAATGAAAATAATAGATTATTTCGAAGACATATCAACTAAAATAGTTCCAGTGTATGTTTTAAAAGGTTTTAATCGATTATTTCGAAAACCTATCAGTTAAAAACCTGTTATGAAAGTGTTAAGAACATTTTAACTGATAAAGCTCATATAATATTAGTTAAAACAGCTTACTTAAAAACCTTTTAACAAATTACTTTGTTTTTAACAATTTAAACAGTTTTTAGAGGCATTTGCAAAATCTTTGAAATGAAGAAACCTCATGCAGTAGAGAGATATGAATGATAATACCTATGTATGAATGCAGACTCACTAATCACTCTACCTTTTGACCAAGTAACCTTTGTGTTCATCAAAATTGTCTTTTGACTTCATCAAATCAACAAGATCTTCTTTTAATCAAATGATCCAATTAAGATCTTCATCACTTTCAATCTCCCTCTATTTGATGAAGACAAACATCTCTTTGAATAATATCATCTCTGCAAAAGAAATCACTTGAATATATAGATTAGTGAGTATTCAAACATTAATCATTTCTCCCCCTATATTACTACTCCCCCTAAAATAGTGAGAATAAAAACACCATTATTTCTCCCCCTTTGACTTCATCAAAAATAGGGAATAGAGGAGTAAAATATGTATGACATGTAACAAAATTTATTTTGAAATCAGTATTATAAGAAATCATGATATCAACAAGATGTATTACTCACTGAAATACCAATTAAAGTTGATTCAAAGTTATCTTCATTAACACGTTTGTAATGAATACAATAGACACACGTAAAGATAAGGGAATCATGCTTTAGTAACATGTTACAAGAACAATCATTAACTAAAGCCTTTAATTTTCTTTCCAGAGTAATAATCGATTAAAAATAGGACAAAATTGATTAAAAATGTTCTTGTTACTATTTTTAATCGATTAAAATATTGTTTTAATCGATTAAAACAGTGATGAAATTAGAAATCTAGAAACTTAAGTTCATTTAATCGATTAAAT